AAAAAAAATTTTGAAAATTTGAAAAAATGGGTCGGCGGGTTATGCAAAACGAAAAATTAACTTTGCGTGGCCTAACCTTAACCTAAGTTTTTATCTTAACAACATTTGTTTTCCAACTATCACGTGATAGTAAAATCGACCCTACGCCCTGGCGTAATTCGATAATTCTACCAGCTGGTAAAATGCCGTAATTCAGTAATTCTACCGCCAACTATAGTTATAGCTACAGAAAAATATTATATCAATTTAATAAGCTTTTTTTTACATAATTTGCGCTCTCATACGAATAAGCAAAGTCACTCGTAGTAGAACGATCTTACTGCAAATAACTTTTTTTTACTCATTTTGAGTGCTTTGTGAAAATAAAGAATAAAAGGCAAGAAAAAAATTGAAATTATAAATTAAATCACAAGAGCTAGTTATTATTTATTTAAACTTATTTATTAAAATCGCTAGTATATTAAGGTAGCGGTAGCGCTTGCCAAGAGCTTCTGCTAAGCTCTCTACATGTTCTAATTCATATCGTTTTTACTAATATTTAAAGAAGTTAAAGCTATATTGTCACAAAGAGTTTTTGCTAATGCACTTACTCCTCTAACATCAATATAATTACCCTGAATATCTAAGGATTTCAAAGTAGTATTTACGCAAAGAGCTCTTGCAAGTGCTTTTGCACCTTATAACCAATAATATTACAACCAATATCTAAAGAAGCTAGTACCTAAATATGTTAAAGTGTTGTTTTTACATAGCGCCTCTGCTAATGCTTTTCCACCTTCGAAACCAGCATTATTAGCACCGATAATTAAAGTTGTTAAAGTACGTTTTTATGAAGAGCTTCTGCTATCGTTTTCACGCCTTCAACATCAAGTTTGTTTCTCATAATATTTAAAGAAACTAAACTAGTGTTTACGCAAAGAAACTCTGCTAAAACTTTGGCTCCTTCAACAAGGATCGAGTTATTTCCAATATTTTAAAGAAGATAACGTGTTGGTTTCAAAAAGTGCTTCTACTATGCACTTGTACCTCTAGAACCAATTAGATTCGAACTAATATCTAAAAAGGTCAAAGTAGTGTTTTTGGAAAGAGCTCCTGCTAATGTTTTTCTTCCTCAATTCCAAAATTAGAACTAATATCTAAATTGGTCAAAGTATTGTTATCGCAGAGAGCTTCTGCTAATGCTTTTACTCCTACCAAGCCAATCGGCGTGCTAATATTTAAAGAATTCAGAGCAATGTTGTTACTACAAAGAACTTCTACCACAAATATCTAGAGAAGTCAAAGTGGTGCCTCTGCTAATAATGTTCTTTAAAATGTTACGACCAGGGGAGACTTTATATCCACGTGGGCAATTTCTACCCAGAGTACTATTCCAAAATCCACTAAAAACATAAAAATCTATCTGATCCTTTTTTTACAAGCATCTTACTCTATATATATATTTCAAATTGACTATCCTGCATGATGCAAAGTATAAGCTAAATCGTAATAATCGCTTCGATCATTACTTAATTATGAGCTAACTGTTACACAGCCGAAGTCTAATTGTTACCTTGTTACATTATTTTGCGTAACAAAACACATGATATTTTAAATGTTTCAAATTTTTACTTGTTATATTAGTTACGTACCTGATCTTAATTACATACTACGTACGTCGTACGTACAGCGATAACATATGTATAAATTAATATTCTTATTGGAAGTCACTACAGATATTTATCATAGTAGTGTTTAGTGGCCGGTTCGGAAAACAAATATTATCGCTATACTTGATACATAATTTGCATACTTATAGAATGTCTGAAGATAACTATACTGTTCCAGCTAGCAAATTCATTCCTTTGTTAAGAGAAGTTGCTGATAAACTCGATAAACTCGCAGAATTTTACCAAAATGTAAAGTATAGTAGACGAATTTGTGGTGTGCTAATGATCAGAATACAGACAGCCCGTGCGTCAATAAGCAGTTTAGAAATTTGTGCGAATGAATTTCCTGAATCCACTGATTTTTTTACTTTAAAAAATAATACAATTTTACGGAATTTTAAACATGTAATGAGAAAATTTGAAGAATTTATCAGAAAAGTTCAAGATATCCACAATTACCGATTATTTTTTGAACAAAATTTTATAAAAAATGAATTTTATGGACTTATAAATGAATTCGATGAATATATGAAATTATTAAAATTTTCAATACCCATCGAAATATCAGCAAAAAATATTGACTTAATAAATAAAGACACTGATGAGATGAAAGAGGTAAATATTCATGCTTTGTATTATGATTTATATATAAAGTAAATTAAAATATATATAATTTTTAAAACAGTATCTACGATCGATTATAGAAAGCACTAATAAAGAACAAATAAATAAAGGGGGCTATTTTTTATACCCCCTATATTTGTTATTCGTACCCCCTCTAACGTAAATTCCCGATGTCACGTGGTCACGTGAAGTGATGATCAATACGATTGGACAATAGCGTTACACTTATCATGCACAACTCTAGATGTTAACCGATC